AGGGGCTCCTGGCCTTACTACTAGGAGCAAGGACGCTACTAGGAGCTGCTGGCATCGCTACTAGGAGCAAGGACGCTACTACTGGCCTTACTAGAAAAGGCGCCTGTCTCTCTGTGGTGCCTGCCAGTGGAGGCTAAAAACTCCGTGAGGAGCGTCTGCCCCGGATTCCGCTCGAAGAGGTCCGAACGCAGCTCCGGATGCGCCTGGCGGCTCTCAACGATCACCGATGGACCGTCTCTCAAGGTTCACTTTGTGAAAGTCACAACACAATCAATCACTTGCAGCGACTTGAAAAGGTCAATTCACCTCCCACCGTGGCCTTCAGCAACTGCGGGTTGAACCTCTCGAGGCTCCGAGACTCCCCACGAGCGGAAAAAGACGGATGTCAACAGCGACAGCCACCGTTGAACAGCTGTTGGAGTCTGAAAGTTCTTCCCCCGGCAGTCCAGGTGGTGAAAGACTTCACCTGGGCACGGCGGCATCGCTTCGAACGCATCAAGTTCCTGTTTTTTGAATGTTTTGGGACATTCCACAGCTCCTAGCGTTACCCACCTCTCTTTGGAACATGAAAGTCACACCTCTCTTGGCATGTTCACGAGGATCTCAAGACTTGCGGACCATTCCTATTACTAGAGACAAGAAGCTACGAACGGAACAAAGGGCATCGCTACTAGTAACAATGGCATCACTATTAGTAGCTTCTTGTTACTATAGTAGCGATGCCCTGTCTTCCGTTCGCAGCTTCTGCGTAGCTGTTACCATATCTGACCAAGTCCTTCTCCAGCACCTCCTTCCTCTGAGCGCGGTGCAGTCTCAGGTGAAGAGGGAGCCAAGCGCTCCAGCTTGTCCAGCGCATGGAAGGTGAAGCGATCGATGACCGCCTGGGCAGAAGCATCGACTTGGAGAAGAAGAATCATCGCCAAAGCGGAGATTAAGTCCAGTTCCAAATGCAAAGGATTCTCGCATACGTGTCCATCTATACTGACACCAAGGTTACATTGGTCTTCTCATTTCTTGGCTGGCTGTTATTCCATCTGCAAACTCCTGATGTACACAACCAGTGCTTTTTGACTTTCAAACCTATGCAAGACATGAACATATCAAAACTATTCAAAACTTGTGCAACTGAGTGCAAAGCCACCCCAAGCTCATGGTCAATGTGGTGACTGTAGCTGTTCTCCTGAAAAAAGGCATCCGAAGCAGCGCTGCCGGATAGAGCGCTCACGGTTGCGGCCGGCCTTCTTTCCGCTGCTCCCAATGGCCAAAATCCCAGGGGAGTAGAACCTCAGACGAAGAAACTCCGTCTTTCACCAAGCACTATTCTGTTCGATGCGAATCATCAGTGTCTTCAGCTTGGGCTTCCACTGATTCTGCAGCGTAGCTGCTTGGCAGGTGTCGCTCACCCAGAAGATCTGCTTGTAGCGACGCCTTGACATTTACTGCAAACACAAGTCTGCCGACTTCTCGGCGAAGTTGTGTGTCGATGTGTGTCGATTCAGGTCATGGCTGCTGCTGCATTTGCTTGAAAGCATCTGCGATATCATTGGAGGTGAGCTCCTCCCAATCCTCAGATTCGATTCGAAAGCAAAATACAAAAAATGGCAGAAAGATGCAGAAAGCAGGAAGACAAGAATGGCCTGGAACTTGATGAACTCTTCACCGGAGTGGCCGGTGATGAAAATGAAGATGTTGCCTTCAGTGTGTCATCGAACTGAAGGCAAGAAGAGGGGCCTTGATGATCGTTGATGGGGTGCGATAGGGGGTCCATGGAGCCACTCGAAGATCCAAAAGAACCGAAGCAGTTCTACAGATCGGCCACTTGCTTGGGCACCCTTGCTGGAGGCATCAGTGAGCAAGCGCTTATTGCGAGGTGTGCTTGGAGGATGTCTTCCTGTCAGTAGCCAGTCTGGCAGGCCACTCCAGCTCTGGACGAAGCGGTTCACAAATGCGCAAACATCCTGGATCGTCTTAAACTGCAACCACTTGCAAATGAGAGTGAGTCAAGTACAAACTAGGGGCTACAGCTGGGCGTTTCAAAGGTTCTTCAATGCCCTGGAACGCCCTGAAGCCTAAAACCTGCTCTCCTGTAAGAAGTCTTAAGAAGTTCTCCACCGAGACTTCATCTCCTCTGTAGTCCACCTCCAAGGGCCAATCCAGTTTGCGCGTCGCTGAATCTCCCAAACCCGACGCTTCAAAAGGGAATGGCCTCCACTTCGGTGCCATAGAGGTTCAACTTGTGATGCCTCACTGAAACAGGTGCTTTTGAGGATCCACAATGACTTTGAGATGGCAACACTAAGCTGCTGGCTTCTCGTTGAAGACAGTGCCCGGCTTGCTGTTTCGGGAGTTGCATGGCACGTCCTCCAGATGTTCTCATTTCGAGGCTCCACAATGCGCGGCATTTGTGTCGAAATCGCCCTGCCTCTGCCATCATCAGAATGATCTGGGAGTCCGGAATTCCCAAACGCTTCACCGTGTGGTAGAAGGACAGCGTCTGACATCATCCGAAAAAAAACAGAAAGAGTCTTCACCTACAGACGCTATTAGATTGGAGGCCATCGCTATTAGATTGGAGGCCATCGCTAGTAGGGTGGAGGCCATTGCTCTTAGGCTTAAAGCTAAATCTAAGGAACCCACGTTGGCAGCATGTCGGTAGTTGTACCAATACTTCGAGGTTTCCACCAGGACGGCCCAGTTGTTACCTGGGTGTCGCATGACTACTCAACCACCAGTCGCAACGGCACGATCCGAGCTCGGAGCGCTCGGTGCGGCTGGTGACATCACCAGAGCCCGCGCTGGGACTTGAAAAGAAGGCCAAGGCGGCTAAGAGAAGCCTAGACAAAAGAGGTTCTCTGAAAAGTGATGAAAAGTGCATACATGTGCGAACCCTGCAGATGCTGCGGAAAAGGTCCTGAACAACAAAATGTGAAGAAAAGACAGCATGTTTTGCCAGATCAACCCGTGCTATCATGTTTAATCCAACCTGTCCGCTGAGCTTGCCTGGTCACCGGCGGCATGCTTGTGCCGGATATGCTAGGTATTGAACTTTGACCAAGCCAACCAAGCTGCTACTGGATGTCTCTACAAGGCAGTGCTGCTGTCCGTAGTGGAAACAAGTAGAAAAACAAAGGGGTTCTTCTTAGATAGTACAAGCCCTGGTGCATTCAGCGGGTGCTTTTAGCATTTGCATCAGATTCCCATCAGTGTTCATGCCATAAACTGGGACCTACTGTAACTTGAAATCTGAGGCGAGTCTGTGACCACGTGCTAATTGCAAATCCCTCTTTGCGTGCTGTTCGAGCCAGAGAATCTTCAAACGCAATGGCATCTCTGTGCTCCTGTAGTGAGACCAGAATTTGTCCATCCTTGGAGAGACAATTTCATCGCAAAGAGCGTCAGAGCTGGATCCAGTGAAACTCCGACCTCGGGTCTGTATGAAGAAATGGCGCGGATCAAAAGATGCCTGCATCTTGCTGCCCGGTGCCCTCAGCAGGACATCTTCGGCCAGCCTCACACGGTACGTGAAGCCGTCGGCCAAGCAGAACACAAGCGGCACTGGTGTAAGGACGCTAGACTTCAGGCCCAAAACAAACTCTTGGACTCAATCCCAGTGTGTTTAAGATTTTCTGGGGTGTTCTGTCCCACTCAAGCCCTGCACACTCTGCTTCTGCAACTGCATGTTTGGCTCTATGAGCTGACCCGCTGCCTTCAATCAAGCTTGCTGCTTGTGGGAGAGTGAAACTGAGAGTGTGTGCTAACAACCGGCGTACATGTCTTTAAAACTATGCCGAAAGTGTCTGCACTCACAAGCTGACCGGGTAGGCGGAACCGGCGTACTTTTCCATTCTGGACCAGACTCTGTAGAGAATGCTGGCCCCAAGTAGTGTCAAAGCAGCGAAGATGGCTCTTCCTGCTACGTCGCTGCCAAGCGCCATTCGCAGGTACGCTTCTCCGAGGTTCATCGCAAAGTAGATGGGCAGCGCAATCCACATGCAGGTAACATTCAGAAGAATGTTCACACATCGTCGGTAGGACTTGCGAAGACCGTGAGACACTGCAAGGATGATCACAAACAGCATGGGGAATCCTCCAAACCACCATCCAACAATATAGAGACTGCTTGAAGCAAAGCTCCAGCCATCCAAATCCAGGACTGCAGCCACGAGCTCATCGAGGAAAGACCACAAGCAAGGAGTTGTGCAGGCAACGATCCAAAGGTATGGAAATGAGTACATGCCGAGTTGCTTTGACAGCTCACTTAAAACAGTCGATTGCACACTGCGCTCATAGTCCTCCACCGAACCGAACCACCGGGTCATGCATTCTCTGATGATCTCCCGGTCACATGGGACTTCATTTCCGGTCTCGGACACATGACCACGATCACAACAGTAGCATTTCGCATTGTCCAGAGAAAATTGTGACAATTGAGCCCTCATTTCATCTAGACATCTGAAATAGCGCCGAAACGCGTTGGTAGCAAAGGCGAAGAAGACGGAGATGGCGCTGACCGCAATAAGTGCCACCACCAGCAGAAATCGCCCGAACTCATCACCAGGCCGCCAGGAGCGTAGCACCAGCATGGACCCTGCTGTAGCACCGAAGAGAATCAAAGAAACAGCCCCCAGGAAAGAAGGCCTCACTTGCACTTGGGAAGCTGCTCTGCATTTCAGAAAGGCACCCAGTTCAAAGGTGCACCACAACCTCGTGCAGTATGTCTCATCCCAACACACAAGCATGCGGCGGGAATGTTTCAAAAAGCCTCCGATGCTCATGACCCCTTCTGCTTTGAGGCGGGCATCTTCTTGGTTGATGCAAATCTTGTCTAAGAAGACTTTGCTTTGTGATCTCCAAAGCAAAAGAGTTGAGCAAGACACCAATGATCCTGTCAAAATGCACCAACCAGACGCTGCTCGCTGACCTTCGAGTCGCCCAAGTGGAGGTAAATAACCATTGAAAACCACGGGCAAGATGCCCAAGGCTGCCAGTGTTCCTACAACCAAAGCGGGCAAGCCATTCTTCAAGACCAGAAGCAGAAAGACCTTGTTCCAAGCAGGTCCGTGCCATGAATGTGTTAGAAATTGCTCAATTTCTCTGCATGGTTTGCTGCGGTGATACAAATTCCTTCCAGCCGATGTACGCAAGACACGGCCACACTGTGCCAACACTTCATGGGCCGGAGTGGCATGCAGAATGTCTTCACGTGTTAGCCGCATGGCTGTCATAAAGCCGATGAGCAAACCCTGAAGACGGGCCATGTCCAATGTCGTGTTGTCGCCATCGCCATCGCCATCGCCATCGCTGTTCTGACTGTTTTGATCGCTGTTGGTGTCCTTCGTGAGCTGCTCTGAAATGTGCCCACGATCTGAAGGAACGTCCTCGTCCTCGACCTCAAATTGCGCACCGACCACCGACATGACCTCGACCTCGAGGCTGGGGCGAGTCTTTGCTGGGGCCCGGAAGCGGCCCGGCAGATGGCAGTACTTCAGTTTGGAACACACAAATCCCTGCGACATGACACCATGATTGAACACGGAATGTCAGTGGACAGATGTAGACAGTATCTTAAGTCAACAGTAACTCTCAGCCCTTTTCTGTGGCATTCATGGCAACCTCCAGTCGTCTCACCTGGGTCACCCACTGAGTCCATCCAGAACGACTCATCTTCCCCCAGGGCCTGGCAGATCTCGGCAGATTTCATGTCTTGAAGGCTCGGAGCGTCCCAATAGCGTCCTGCTTCCTAATAGCTTCTTGTTCCTAGTAGCGACGCCAGGAACCCCTAAATGCGTCTTGTTCCTAGTAGTAAGGCCAGGAGCTACTAGTAGCGTCCTTGCTC